TACCTTGCTGGAGGACGCATTGGCTTTTTCAGCGGTAACATCAAATTGCTATTGGATGATCTCCAAGAATTAAAGTAATGTACTATAAATTATCACTATGATTTCTCATACAGTTTGTTTTATCTGACGTAAAAAAGTGTCGAGGACTCAACTCTTCGGCTTTTCTCTTGAAATGTCATCTGTGTATAGATTGCCTATTGATTTTTGTTTTACTTTTATAGGCCTACAGTTTTTCCCACGGTTCCCCGTTTACTGAATAGGATCTACGACAAGGTAAAGTGTGATGAGACTAGACTCGGTATATAACACCAAAAATTACACTAAAGACAATAATAATTTATTTTCCTGCCCTGGTTGTTCTTGGCTTCAGGTCAACAATGAAATAAGTAAAAGAAAATTCAAGTCTTGGTTATTTGAGATGGCGATGGCTGCAAAGCAAAGAGAGGTCGATAGGTGGGTTAAACTGGTGATTCAATTTCTGGCTGCTTTTTTTATAACTATGCCTGTACGACTTTTAGTTAATTAGCTTAAAAATTATTTTAAGTTACTAAGTTAAAACAGGTTGCCAGGTCGTTAAGTTTATGACACTTCCGTTGTTATGGAGTAAAACAGTTCGAATTGCTTTTCGTTTAATCTTCGCAATTTTGACATATTTGAAGGAATTTCAGCAGTTACTGAACTGAAATTACGAAGGACATAGCAGGAAAAAACTGGTATAAATGACTGGCTTAGTCACGTGAAGTGATCACATGTTTTTAAAAAGTTTAAAACGTTGAGCAAGTTTGCTTCGCGCTGATTGGCAGCTTCCTTTCAATGAATCAGCTACTGTTCGATTTTTTTMAAAGTTTGCTGTGTTACGTTTCTTTTGTTTCATTTAACAAGCACCAYTGAAACACGAATATTTTATGTATCATTGAGGCTAATGTAGGGTATTGGGAAGTACAAATTGACTTTCACTTCAAACCAATTCTCCTTTTACTAATTGGGTATATTCATTCATTACTAATTGGGCATATTCATTCATTCTAATGAGGAAGGTAGACTGGTGTTCTTCCACTGGCAAATAAGGAAGAGAGCTGCAAATCAAACAAACAAAAGAATCATTTGCTGAAGTTGCAAAAAGGAGATTGAAAGTATCTTTGATACGACAGGCAGTTCAATACAACTCTATGTYCATACACGTTTTTTTTTTGTAGGAACAAAATCAGGAACGACTCATGGTGGGATGTCTTTGTCTTCAGAAAAATCCAGGTGTTGTAGGAGAGCTGCATTTCTTTGTCTTAAAATTCCTTTGAGAGGTGGAAAAGTGCCGGTTAATCTCAGATCATATCTTTGTTTTTGCATTAGGCCACAAAACAATCACATTTTTACATTTTATACATGCTTACCACATATAATAAACTGGAAGTAGCTTAAGAATGGAAACAAGAACTCCTTTTTCTATAGATACGTTTTCTTGAATTCTGGTGAATAGAATCCCTCGATATTTGAAATCTTAACTCCTGCATTGACTTAGGCCGTTTCCATTCCATTCGTTTTCTATTGTTTTCAATTATTTAATTTCCGGCTTATGTTGTAAGTATCTATCCTGAAAAGATCCCACATTGTATAAAAACTTGTTTGTGCAAGCTACATTTGGAGCAATGAGCACTATAAGATGGCTGTAGGCTTTCAGATTTTATAAAAGCATCATTTACAACATTTTAGATCAACTTAAGATCAAAGAGGCAATTTACGTTTTATATTTGTAGGACATTCTTGGTGGACGTGTAAGAATGGTTCTCTCTGGTTCRGCGCCATTGTCTTCTAAAGTAGCTAAATTCATGCGCTGTGTAATGGGTTGCCATGTGAGTTGAGTAACACGTTAATTTCTATGCACATTGTCTTGMAATTTCTACGCCACATTACACAATTTTCAGCAATAATAGAAAATCACATTAGTATACTTCTTACAGTTTATGATAGTCCAGTCCTGGCCTCCTTTCGACCCGCTCCGGGACTCGCGGGGAAAGAGTCCAGTATAACTTGCATGTGCATAACAAACCAATTAGATTATTAATAGTCAGTCATCACACACGTAGCGACTGCTTTGAATTTTCAAGCCTCTAGTGTTCGCAATCTTTCTTTGTTCACATTATTCTCTTTTGTTTGATTCATTAGTCTGCTTTTGCTGTGAAGCCCCATCTGTCACGAAAGTAGATTTATTCTTTAAATTTTCGCTTCCATKTTCGCGTAGAAATGCCAACGATAACTAACTTGCAACGAGTGGTGAACGATATATATTGTTCTAAACCGGCTCTAAACTTTATTTGACAGTAATACGATTCAAACCTTTCAAATGACGACAAWAATAATCACAGATAAAAAYGACATTATTGTAGATCACAAAACTGACATGCGCATGCAAGTTATACTGGAGCGGGTCGAAAGGAGGCCAKGACTGGAGAATGAGCCTATTTATAACCTTGAGCGAAAGAGAATACAAAATAAGCGTTTTAGGTGAATGAAACCATGCACTTGGCCTTAGAGAGCAAAAGTGTCCGAAAATGAACGGAAACTATTCATTTTTCCGTCAGGTGCTGGAAGGCTATGGTTTGACCGAGGCAGTAGCTTCAGTGAGCTTGCAGTTGATTGACGACTTGACTGTAGGTTGGTATGAAAGAGTTACTTAAGGAATAATAATATCTGCACGTTTCTGTCGATTCTAAGCTTTAAAGTCGAGAAAATCGCCAAAAACCAGTCCRCACTTCCAAATATAGCTGGCAAATGGAGAACAACTTATTTGATATATTTGAGCGTAAACATCATAAACATATCGGCTATATAGAGTGACATAGGTGCAATCTGAGAGAGTTTGGTGTTCAAGTGTGTCCATGACAGGAATGGCACGTATCCCTGAGACACTTTATTCTSCTTGAAGACGTGACTGCCGTACATAAAATGGACGTTTTTGCGCAAGGACCGTTAGGAGAACCTTGATGTTKGTAGCAGTGAAATATTGGTTGACCCATTTTTGTCGTACACATTATTAATAGCTTCCTTGACATACAAATTGCGACGACATCCAGGCTGAAGGGATAGGAGAAATTCTTGTTGTCGATGGTGCTAGGTGACTGGATGGAGTTGTTGTGTTGGAGGCTGCTATTCTCGAGATGTGCTAGAACATCGATAGGTAAGAGGGGCTTTGGTAGACGCGCTAGAAGCAATGAGATTTTGGTGGTGGGAGAGTTGGAATTCCGCATGCTTTTTTGTAGCTTGGCTTCTAGTTTTATGTCGACGCTTTCATGTTTGAGAATATGGTTGTCGATTTAGGGTTTTTTATGTAGGGTTCATGTGCTGGCTGACGACCTGAGTCTCTGAGGGCTGACTGCCAACTCAATTGGTTAGCTAGTCTGTAAAACGCGGTATTCAGATGGATTCTTTGCCTACTTTCGGATCAAGGCTAAAATTTGAATCTTTGGATAGGAACGTTAGATCTTTCTCTCTCAAGGTTTTGATAAGGTTACTAAAATGCTCAGCGGACAAGCTCAGAAACCAACCATAAACTCGCGCGAAGAATGCAGAGAAGTGTAAAGACTTGTTCTTTTAAAATTTGATTGACACTCTGTACTTGTATCTCGAAGTCCATTGGTATTCACGGCTTGAATGCTTGAATGATCGATCCACTCTTATTAGTTTAGGATATTAATCTTCTCATTTTCCCTGACGATGYTGTAGGCAGAGAAAACTCGGATTCTTAAAATATATTATTTGTATTTATTTTCGTCATCACAATCATGCTGCTATAAAGGATAACTTCGTCTACTTGAAATACTGTATTCAATGACCAAAAGTGCACTAYTGATCAATWTRTCGTCKTTTAAAGGGGTATTCGCCGTGTCAGAGTGACTGAACCAGCTCTTTCAAAGCTTCCTATCAGACATCTAACAAGGCTTGTTGGCTGATAGTCCTCTTCATCCTTTTGCTAAACAGCGAATAAAATCAGCTAAATATCTATCTATCTATCGTGGCTGTATTTCATAAACTTCTCTTTCTTTATTGCAAGGTCCTTCTTTAGTGATCTTATATCTCTTCCTTTTTTTTTAGGTATTTTTGTTCTGCATATACTTTCAATGTAATCTTCAGGTCCGRGTTGTTCAGCCCGATTATGTTAACCCAGGGTTAACTGGGTCTTAACTCCATAGGTTTTCTAAGAGTTAACCCATGATTAGCGCTAATCGGGCTTCGAACAACCCGGCCCTGATGTTTTGTTGAGAGTTACAAATCGATGATTATCTTTCATGTATAGATGTTGAGACGACTCATTTTAGAAATATTTATAAGTAGATGAAAACCTGACTAGGAAAAAAATGTCGTTGGTTTCTTTCTTTGGTCTAGGATCAGTGAACGAACGAAAATTGACTAAATACTGTTGCAGTGGATATCCCTCAGTATGTATAAAATCAAAACTAGATACAATTGGGAAATCGAATAACAGGTTCAAATTTCCAGTTTCATATTCCGACTGTAAAAATGCTATGATGTCATTATACAATTTATAAAGGAACATAAATATAGAATTCTTCAAGAAAAGTGCCAACCAACGATTTTTATTCACGAGTTGCGTAGCACCAAAAAACGAAGTGTTGAAAGCTTTGTTGAAACTTTCTTTCATTTCTATATCGTGTTTATCATAGTGC